AATAATAAAAATAAAGCAATAACATTTTATTGTTAAGAAAATTGTATAATGTTTTATTATTATTTTTTTATAAAATAAAATGTTATTTTATTATGTTTTATTTTTATTATTTTATTTCCATTCTACGTGACTTTACCAAAAGAGCCAATAAGATGAATCCCTGCAGTCACGAAAGCTTTAAATCGAAACGTTCTACTTAATCAAATAGACTTGTTAATAAATGTTTTCACCTTCAACATCGGAGTGCAGCGCCACATTAAATACGCACTACAATGATAATAGTTTAAAGAGATTTGAAGCGTGTTTTATATATTTTTTTTTTTGGGGGGGGGGGGGTGGCAAAAATCGTCCAAAATCGCGCGACGTCATTTATGGCCGGCGCCTCTAGCTGTGCTGGGGCAAAGTTCTTCAACTCGTCACCCGCTTAATCACGAATGTTCTGAGGTTGTTCTTGCTGATTCTGGGTCGCAGTGGTTTCAAGTATTTTTCAACGAAGGTTATTGGGTGCACAGCCGTTTCAATACGGGCACACATTGTTTCGTCCGTCTGTTTGCGTTTCTCCCTTGCGACGGGACCTCGTTGTCTAAACGTTGATATTTATAAGGGCAGGGGGTGACCAATAAGGGTTTGAATCGATCTGTAACAATCTAGGGGCACTGATAAGGGGTTGACAGCTATGCCAACACGAACGCGCGATTAACCCCGTTGACCTGAACAAGTTCGTGGTTTCGGTGCGTGCGCGTGTTCAAGTTTCATTTATTAGGTATAGTCCTGTGAGCCATGCGAGCATCTTAAGTCGGGGTGCAACCGCAACAAACAAAATTTGAACACAGAACATCTTAAAGCGACGACGCGTAACAGAAACATTCTGGAATAAACCAGCAAATAATTCCACACAAAAACAACGTATTAAAACGCTGCGCGCAAAAATCAAGTGTTGAAGCCGGGTCGGTAGTCACAGGGCAATGAGATGCGGCTGGTCATAGACGGCGCGTGACCCCGGCCAAAAAGCCCGGCAGGGTGCCGCTTAAGGGGCCGTCCATAAATGACGTCACGCGATTCTGAACGATTTTTTTGACCCCCCCCCCCGCCCTCAAATATGACGTCACAAAGCTCTGCCCCCTCCCCCCCGCCAAAATAAAACACACTTCAAATCGCTTTAAACTATTGTTGTCATTGTAGTGCGTATTTAATGTGCCGCTGCACTCTGATCTTGTAGGAGAAAACATTAAAAAGTCTAATTAAGTGGAACGTGTTGTCTATATTTAAAGTTGCGCATTTTGATGTGACGTCACATTTATCAAACTCCCCCCCCCCCCAGTCGTCACACGTCGTCACAAATGTCTGACCCCCCCCCCCCCCAGGTGCGTGACGTCATTTCTGGACGGCCCCAAAACACTCCAGCGCTGTCCTACCAGACAGTCTCGACCCCTTCACCTGATGAAGGCCACTTGTGTTGTGGCCGAAACGTCGTGAGAATATTATTGTGTTATTTTATTTTATCAATTTATTATTTTATTCTCATTCTACGTGGTGACTTTACCGAAAGAACCAAAGAAGAGGCCCCAAAACAGTTAATTTGGAAATGTTCCAGATTCATTTTTGCCTTCGTTCACAGATCTGGGCCAACGGCACCTGTCTGGATTAAATTGGCACAATGGAGAACTTCTTTGCGACGGTGATGATAGGGATTTGTGATGTTGATACCCATAAACATTCAATACCTGCAGGCATATGGCTTATGGATGACAGGCTATTGGTTGGTTTTAATACAGCTAAGACATAATAAAATAAAATACATATAAAATAAATTTCATTTATATTTTATTTAAATAAAAATAAAATAAATTTCATTTTTATTTTATGTTTTATTTTTATTATTTCCGTTCTACGTGACTTTACCGAAAGAAACAAGAATATTTAATACAGCTTCTGGCAGGAAATAAATGAATCTCAATTTTTGGCTTGCAGAGTTGAGAAATGTGTGCAGCTCGGAACCCCGCGAGCTAGATTTGATTCCTGGCTACAGACAACGTCGTCGGTGGTGGCCTTGTATCCCAACTCATTCTGGTTTTCGTGTAGGTAGACTGCCTTCAAGTGAAGTTACCTGGTGCGGTGTGTTAGTAAAAAAGATGATTAAATCAGCACTGGGGAGGATGAAGGTAGCTGAACCAGCTAGAAACTATTTTAAACAATTGTTTAGGTTGCGGGTAAGGCCCACTTACTATACTGCTCTTTCAGAAGCGACCTCCCCACAAATGGTAGGTAACGCAACGAAGTGGCTTATCGAAGGACCTGGAGGGGGGGGGGGGGGAAATCCACTCGACCCATGGGAAGAGAAAACCTCGCTGACTCCAAATATACAGCAGGTGTTGTCAGGGTTGGGATGAAACGCATGACCTTCGATATATACCAGGCGAGGTAGTTAACTTCTCACCACAGTGGCGCCCAAAACCCACAACCACGCACCTGCTCCGACCTGCATAGGTGCTCTCGACCGTAACAACGCTTGACCAAACGGGTACGTGGAGGTCTGTACCAGCGGCGGGCGTCTTTGTGTGCGCGCAGTGCGCTTGCGCGGGACGGAGGGGCGCCCCGCCGACCGTCCCATCGCCCCTCGTGAGGAGGTCTTCGAATACATCGTCTTTCGCGTCAGCGAGATCAAGGACTTGACCCCGTGCGAGTACATGCTGTCCGCTCTGCACCACGACGTGGCCATGGTGCAGGTGAGAGGTGCAGCCGCTCTTTACCATTAAACTATTTATTGTACCATGTGAGGCCCACCGAGCTACTTGACTCTCTTTTCAGAAGCGACCTGGCCACAAATGATTTGCTCAACGAAGCGGCTTATCGCGTGGACATTTCCAGCAGCCAAATACTCCAAATGCACGTCGGTTCTAAAACGTGGAGGTAGAAACTGGATGACCCAGAGAAATCCACGTGACCACGGGGGAGGACGTTGAAAACTCCAAAAATATGCAGGCGTCGGGGGTCTGGATCAAACCCCACGACCTATTGTACTCCAGGCGAGGTAGTTAACATCTTGCCACTGCAGCAGTGCCATGGTTTAGGGGAGCGGTGGCACAGTGGTTGATGCGCTGCACCACAAACCCGCCTACGACCCACCGGGGTTTGATTCCCACTTACGGCCAACGCCAGGTGACGATTATCTGAAACGGTCCCGGGCTTTTCCTGAGGTCTATCCAATGAGCACCTGGTGCGATGTATAAACATCGCCACTGGGGAGAAGGCGGTCGGGCGTGGGTCTGGCTTCCCCACCTCCTCCGTGTGCTTTGCCGGCCTCGTAGTTGCTCGCACTGCACTTGCCCCGAACGTCCGTTAAGCCTTTAAGGGACATCTTTGGCAACATGTTGACAAAATGTGGAAAAAAAAGTCAACGCTGATCGGCCGCATTTCGGGCAAATTTTCCCTTCACGGCACTGGAATCGAGGAAGCCAGAGATGGTGGAGAATACGAGGTTGGAGACTGCACTTCACACTTGGGGGGCTTGATGAAAGTTGCATTTGAGAGTTACAATAGTTAGCTAACAGTGGTAGCTGTGGAGGGTTTTTACAGGTTGAGGAGGAGGAGATGGAAGAGGCTACCAAGATCCGAGCCCGGGTGCCAGCGTGCCAGTGGCTGAATTGCGCAACCCTTGGCACCTGATTGGCTCTCGGGTGATGACATCGCAATTATCCCTCCTCCTAAGACCGAAACGGGAGAATCTCTCATGGTAGCCTGATGGCTTGCAGAGGTTCTCTGTAAGCCATCTGGCTACCATGAGAGATTCGTTTATGAGGCTATCCACATATACAAACACAGAGACAATTTCAACCGAGAGGAAGGAATTCTGGCTTAGCAATCATTGGAAGGATTTGATAAACCATTCCGGGTCTTAATTGATTGTTCACGCTTACGGTGGCTTTCAGACCGCATCCATCATTTTCGTCTCCCCCCTCTTTTCCGAACATAGATGGACTTGTCCATCTGAATAACTGCCAAATCGCTCTCCGTGGTGCTAACGTTAAAAAAAACCCGCCACTTTTTAAAAAAAAATGTCTTGCTGTGGTTTTTACACCTGATGATGATTGCTTGTCTTGCAGTCGAAACGTCGTGAGAATTTTAAAGTTTTATATTTTTATTATTTTATTGTTTCCCTTCTACGTGGTGGTGACTTTACCGAAAGAACCAAGAAGGTGCATAAGAAGTTTGACATGCGTACGTCGTCCGTCGTGATTTGTTCTAATCGCTGCCTAACCCACCCTCACCCCCCGTCCAGTCCTCGCCGGGCACCCCGGGGGGGGCCGCCGCTCGCTGCCACACGTGCGGTATCGGAGCGGCGGCGAGCTGCCACTCCGCGCCGGGCACGCCGACCGGACCCCCCCGCGGTGCCACGGGCGGCCACCCGGGCCACGCGCGGCACGACGCCTGGGCCACAGCGGTCGGGCACCGTCCCTTCGTGCAGCCTGCGTACGGAGGAGCTGCGGGTACGGGAGGGGGGGGGTGCGGTGTGCGGTAAACATCGGCACTGCAGGGCTGCACCTTTGCCCTCTTAATGCCACGTGGTTTCCGTTGCCCAGTGGCCTTGCCTCGGGTCGTTTTCGCCTTTTGCTCGTTTAGAGGCAACTGCGTGATTTCAATGCGATCTTAATTGAACGCAGTTGAGTTGCAGCTATCTTCATGGAATTATTTCCGTAAGCGCATGCTACTGTTGCTGCCCTCTGCTGCTGCTGCCCTCTGTACTGCTGCCCTCTGTTGCTACTGCTGCCCTCTGCTTCTGCTGCCCTCTGCTACTGCTGCTGCCCTCTGTGCTGCTGCTGCCGCCGGTGCCCGCGGGTTGCATTGAGCTTCGCGTGCGAGCCGAAGGGCGACGCGAAGTGGCGCTTCTACGGAGAGGAACAGCAGCAGCAGGAGCACAGCGCCCTCGACTGGCAGGTGCGGTGGTGGCGGCCTGGGGTCGTGTTAGTGGTGGCTATGGTGGTGGTTGTGGTGGTGGTTGTAGTGGTTGTGGTGGTGGTGTTTGTGGTTGTGGTAGTGGTGGTTGTGGTGGTGCTTGTAGTGGTGGTGGTTGTGGTGGCTATGGTGGTGGTTGTGGTAGTGGTGGTTGTAGTGGTTGTGGTGGCTATGGTGGTGGTTGTGGTGGCTGTGGTGGTGGCTGTGGTTGTGGTGGTTGTAGTGGTGGTGGTTGTGGAGGCTATGGTGGTGGTTGTGGTGGTTGTGGTGGTGGTGGCTGTGGTGGTGGTGGTTGTGGCTCTGGTGGTGGCTGTGGTGGTGGTTGTGGTGGCTGTGGTGGTGGCTGTGGTGGTGGTTGTGGTGGCTGTGGTGGTGGTGGTTGTGGCTCTGGTTGTGGTGGTGGTAGCTGTGGTGGTGGTGGCTGTGTTGGTGGCTGTGGTGGTGGCTGTGGTGGTGGTTGTGGTGGTGGCTGTGGTGGTGGTTGTGGTGGTGGCTGTGGTGGTGGCTGTGGTAGTGGTGGTTGTGGTGGCTGTGGTGGTGGCTGTGGTGGTGGTGGTTGTGGTGGTGGCTGTGGTGGTGGCTGTGGTGGTGGTGGCTCTGGTTGTGGTGGTTGTGGTGGTGGTGGCTGTGGTGGTGGTGGTTGCGGCTCTGGTTGTGGTGGTGGCTGTGTAATTGGTTGACAATATTTTGTATTTCTCTCAATTTCAATAGATTTTATCATTAGTATTGGCCAGTATTAAGACTAAAATAACACCAAAGAAATATGTTGATGTTTGTGTAAAACGAATTATTATTGACCACGACTATTTAGATCATCTGTTGAAATTGAGAGAAATAAAAAAAACTATTTCACCGTTCTGACAGCTGCAGGCTCAGTGCTGCTGGGAGCGTATTGTTTAGTAATACATTTAACGCATGCTTATATCCAGGTTATCCAGGTTAACTCGTCCGTCTTCAGGCCAAAGCCGGGGTCTGCTTCTGATAAGATCGACCGCGTGACGCTGTGCGGGCAACGGGGAGCGCTGCAGAACACGTCGATGATGCGCGTGCGCGACACCAAGATATTCTTGGTGTCGGCGTACCACGACCAGCGCGAGGCCGGTCAGAGCACACGCATCATCGGCATCGCCAACCGGTATGAGCCGGACGTGCTCTCCTGCCACTTCTGCTGCCGAGGGCACTCGGAGATCCTGACGGTCACCGCCAGCGCCTACGTCCACTCGGATCACTTTGACTTCCCGTACAGCACGGCCGACTTCCTGTGCACGGAGCCGCTGGACTGCGAGCCGGGACACGTGTCCGTCCAGCGCATGCGCACAATACCGGACGAGGAGGAGGCCGAGTGGGTCTTCATGCCCGTGCGAAATCGGCTCTACATGCCCCCCACCTTCACACAGGAATTCAGCGTCTGCATCTCCACGCTCTTCGGGAACTACGGCAACGTCCTGCAGTTCGTGCAGGCGATCGAAATGTACCGCATCTTGGGTGCGGGCCGCGTGACGGTATACAACACAAGCTGCAGCTCTGAGCTGAACAAAGTGCTCCTCTACTACATCAAGACCGGCCTCGTCGAGGTCGTTCAGTGGCCCATCACGGACTACGTGCGGGTGTCCAGAGGGTGGCACTACCCCGAGCACCCAGGCGAGCTGCACTACTATGGCCAGATAGCGGCGCTGAACGACTGCGTGTCTCGGCACATGTACAGCACGCGCTACCTGGTCCTCACGGACATCGACGAAGTGATCATCCCTTTGAAGCACACAAAATGGAAGGACCTCATGCGGTACTTGAACGACAAGTACGGCGCCGACATTTACACATTCGAAAACCACGTGTTTCCCTACACGGTATCGGAAGAGTTTCGGTCGAAGTTCCAGGCGTGGAACGCCATCCCGGGCGTCAACATCATGCGCCACATTAGACGGGAGCCAAACCTGCCGGAGGTCTTCAACCCGACCAAGATGATCCTGAACCCACGCGCGGTGCTGCAGACGTCGGTGCACAGTACGCTCAACGCGCTGGGCATCTCGCAGACGGTGCCAGGAGACATCGCGATCATGCACCACTACCGATCGCCCAAGCAGCCCGACCTGCCGCTCGACTCGCTGGTCGTGGACCTCACGCTGTGGAGATACAATGCCACTCTGATCAGAAATGTCAACAAGGTCCTCAACAGGGTCTTCTGGAATGAGTAGGCACAACGGGCGGCGGTGGCGGCGGTGGCGTTGATTGTCATCTTGCGTTTTTTGCGGTCTTGCAATTTGAGTTAAACACCGGTGTTTGTGAGTTTTCCGTTTGCGAATGTGGTCAATGTATGGGACATATTTATTTGCTAATCTTATGATTGCGTTTACAGTTAAAATTTGTTATCTTCATGTTTTTCTGCATTTGAATCCACCAGGGCACAATAGGGGTTGTATTGGTATGTCTTATGGAAGCTAGGGAAGTTAACATTGGTTTATTTTAAACCAATCCTAATTATTTCTATTGCTTTTGGGAGTACCACTCGAAATGTTTTCAGGTTAAAACATTTAAAATGTGGCACAAATTGATTTAAATAAATGTTCAGTGTGCATGTTCTACCAGTCTCTAATGAGCTTATTGTTTTCATGACTCGTGTCCACGGAGGATAGTCAAATCCCAGAGGATGGTGGCAGGATTTTAAAAAGTAAATCCTGTGGTGATAAAAAAAATGTACATACGATATTAAACTTTTAATTTGAGTGATAATTTGAATGACAGGTGTGTTTTGGGCCAAATGAGCTAGTAAAGACTCACATTAAACATAATAGATTCAGTAGGAATATATTTATACATCCAAATGTATATAGTTGTGTATTTGAATATGTATCAACACCAGCTGTTGATACATACAACTCATTTTAAATTATAAAGCCATGTTAATGTATTCCTAAACAATACATGGAGTTGACATTTCTGAATTGTTGCATTAGATAGTTTCGCGATGGATTATTCAGCAGAAATCATCATTATCACGTATTATCAATCTTGCAAACCAGTTTTAAACATATACAGCAAAATGCTATTACCATTCTTTATCTACATATATAATATCACAGATCTGTCCTGTCATTCTGTGACTGTGATTAACGCCCCCGGATTGGTTTAAGTGCGTCACGTGATCCCGAGCAAGCAGCCAACCAGAGGTGCGCCCCCCCCCCCAAACATGTACGCCCCCGGATTGGTTTAAGTGTGTCACGTGACCGCGAGCAACCATCCAAGCAGAGATGAGCCCCTCCCAAACATGTACGCCCCCCGATGCTGCCCTGAGGCAGAGCCGTGCTCGGGCCGCTGCTGCCCTGAGGGAGATGGGTGAGGAGACAGGTAACAGGAGAAGGGTGAGTGAGAGTGAGGAGAAGGGTGAGAGTGAGTGAGGAGAAGGGTGATTGAGAATGGTGAGAGTGAGGAGAAGGGTGAGTGAGAGTGAGAAGGGTGAGTGAGAGTGAGAAGGGTGACAGTGAGAATGGTGAGAGTGAGGAGAAGGGTGAGTGACAGGAGAAAAGTGACAGGAGAAGGGTGAGTGAGCGTGAGAAGGGTGAGTGACAGGAGGATGGTGAGGAGAAGAGTGAGTGAGAGTGGAGAATATATGTAATTTGTACGTGTTTATCTTAGGGATGATTCTTTGGTAGAATACGTCAATACAAAACTTCCATAAATCGTTAACAAGTTTATATGCTTAACCCAGATATCATGGCACTTATGTATTTGTAATGAGAGTGCGCCACCTACAGGACGACCGGGGGGTTATTGCAGACACGTGCTATGTTGTCTCACATCCAATCAGTAAGGGGGATCCCATCTGGGTGAAAGGTAAATGGGTAGAGCTAGCGGGAAGCCTCGAGAGCCCTCTAAAATGTTCCGAGAGGGGCGTGGCTAGAGGCGGAGCTTAGCACCGCCGAGAGGGATATAAGCAGAAGCAGCAGAGGACTCTGGGTCGTCGGTGTGAAGAGCCTGGGTCCGAACGTCGTCACCACCTGCGCTACCACCCATCGGCCACGTGGCGGGCTCCACCAGCTGAGCCTCCCCTCTCTCCGACACGCCGTCAGCCAGCGGCGAGGCGGAGAAGGAGTGAGTGCCACGGCGGCGGGAGGCAAAGCGTGCGCCGCCGTCCCGGGAGCAAGAGAGAAGCCAGCCGCGCAGGGAGACACGTGCTGTACTGCAACTTGAGAATAAATACAACTGAAGTTTAACCCATGTCGGAGACGCTGATTACATATTGATAAGTGGATGTTAATAAAACATGCAACTAGTCGTAGTCAAAACCTTCTGTATTGTCATGTAACAATGTATCCGTTCACAAAAGTTAACATTTAAAATCGTGACGTTTAACAATATTCACATGCAGCGGTTGGCAATTTTACGTTTCAACTTTCCAGGCACTCGGGTTTGTTAATTCAGAGAGTGAAACAGCAAGGGACATTCTCGTCTCTTTGTCCTGTGTTTGCCCTCGGGTGCAGTGAGTTTATGGTGTTTTGCCATGGGTCCTCCCTTGCTCTCTCAGAAATTCCCTGAGTCACTCCTTGGAAGAGTTATTCCTTTATGGCCTTTCATTAACGTTTCACCTTTTGCTACATGAGTTAGGTTTATTCCTGAGAAGCGAAATATTCGACGGCTTTAAGGCCCTCCTCAGCTCTGGTTATTCTCATCATGCCCATCTGATCA